GTGCTCTCATGGACTGACAACTGGTTAAAAAACAGAAAATAGAGAGTAGGAATAAATGGGTGATTTGTACACTGGCAGATAATGTAAACCACTAATACATTAATGGAATCTAAGCTGGCAGTGTCTGCCCAGAAAAGGGATCCTAGAATCACAGCAGACCACTTGATGAATGTTAACCCAGCATCCAGTTGCTATAAAAAATATATATATAAATAAATTCCATGCTTGGAATACTGAGATCAAAACTACTGAAATAGAAGCATCACTGTAAAAATGACCAATTACTTAGAGTAGAACAAATCAGGATCTTAAACCACAATTAAAATTTGGATAAATATCCTGGCTTGTTATGAAATTGTCAATAGCCTCCAATTTGGATATAAGAAAAACTATGGTTAAGAGAAAGTTTACTAATTTAATCATGATGAGCTCATAAAGAAGATCACAGGGTTGCATCTGTAAGCAAAAGATGGAGATGTAATGGAGATGTAATCATCCCAAAGTAGTTATTATTAACTGTGTTGATATTATTAAAATAACAAGGACATGCATTTTATTTATCTTATTATTTTTAATTTAAATTTATTAGCCACACAACTGCAGTGGACATGGAAATCAGAAAAGGCAAAACCTAATAAATTTCAAGTATTCGCATTTTTATAAACAGGTCTACTTACAACAAACCAGATGTGCTTTTCAGTTCATTCACACCTTTCTCTGGAACTTTACCCCCAGTAAACCATTTTTTGGTTGCAGAAAATAAAGAGCGACTCAAGCCTTTTCTGGATATTAACTGAGAGATGGAAATATTTTCTTACTAAATTGCAATAGTTTATTATTCACTGAAAACACTTTTCAGAGATTTACAGCTGTTTTAAAAAACTATGTATTCCATGCAAAATACTAGATTCCAATCAAATCTTTATTACAGTCAAAGACCAGCACAAAGGTAAAATAAAAAGTTTTTTGAAACAAAATACTATGACAAAAAATCCACAAATTTTAAAAAATTAATACATTTGAAACATATATATCATCTGCCTTTTTTAGACTTTTGTTTTTTACACATGTGCACATGCACACCTACAGAGAAAGAGTAAAAAAAAAGTCAGACAATTTTCTTTTTAGCTATACCTTCTGTCAAATATTGCTACCTATTATCTTCAGAAAGCATAATATATGCTTTATTTTAGGAAATGAATGAATTTATAGATCCACTCATCTATTGAGCATTGCTATATAATTCTCTTCAGCAGCAGATATTAATTCAAAAGCAAGAATGTTCATTATTTGTTGTTATATATTTTATCAAAGTAATCTGAAGGGCTTTACATAAAAGGAATCTTGCCTTTGTTGGTTCTAGGTTTTGTTTGTTACTTCAGATCATTTAAAATACACTGTGTTGGTTTTCTAGAGCATTACATCATCTCTATAAATGAATGGCAATGATATTTGTATTAAATTTGCATGTTAAATATCAATTATACTATGCACATGTACTTTGACATAAGCCGAACTAAGGACTTTCACTGAAATAAATAATATACAGGATTTGTTCTGAATATATTCAAGATTTTACATAACAGGTTTTGATTGTGAATCTAGTTTGAATTTCAGCTAAGCCAACCCCCCGCCCCAATTTTATAAAAATAAAACTACTTACCTGATCATTCAGTTGCCTAATAGTTTTCTCTATATGTGGTAAAAGTCCTCTAAAAGTGAATTCTTGTATGAATTGCCGAATTCGATCATGATCTGTGAGTGTCAAACAAGTGCCATGAGGTGTCCAAATATTTGATTTCTTTGATTCGTGCATAGATAGATTTGGTTTTATGTAATCTGTGCCATCGAAGCAACTACTGTCGCTAGCATGATCCAATTGAAGTGGGTGACTCTTAAAGTTATTTGATAAACCATCTAAGAAAAAGAAATTATATCCAATAACTATTCATTAAATAATGATTTGAAGACTGCTTACAGTAATCTTTAACTTACTATGGCAATTGGAACCAGACTTTCCATCACTAAACAATGAGGTTATAAAGCACAACCCCATCACTTAGTGACAGCAATTGCTGCAATCCCAGCTGCTGTTGTTAACCAAATCCCACAACTGTTAGGTGAGGCAACTTCCTGCTAGCTTCCCACAAGAAATCAAAGGAAGGAAGTTGCAAGTCACAGGAAGCTTAGAAACAAGCCAAGAAGCAGTGGAGGAGGGAATGGGACAAGGAGGTGTGCAAGGGGTGTGTCTGTGAGGGGGGGGGGGGTAAAGTATGTGTTAGAGCAGCATCCCGCAACCCTTTGAGCACCAGGGACTGGTTCTGTAGAAAAAGGTTTTTCCATGGACTGGAGGGGACGTCATTTTTACATGCTGCCTGCATACTGCAGATGGGGCTTTGCTTGTTTGCGTGCAGAGTTACTGGCATGCCGCAGACAGTGCTGGTCTACGGACCGGGGTTTGGGGACCCCTTTGTTAGAGTGAGAGATGCAGGGAGGGTCGGGGAGGGTGTGTGGGACTCCATGAGGATGTGAGGGAGATGTGGTGAGGATCAAGAAAGGTGCATGAAGGTGTGAAGAGGTACATGAGCATGCAAGGAAGACACATCAAGGCTCAGGAAGGGCCTGCACAAGTGGCTGACATAGTGCAACCATAGAAGGACTGGAGGGGGGTGCATGGGTGGAAGAGACTTGTAACATTCCCTGCTGGCTTCCCCATTGAATTTCTGGGGAAGTCAGAAGGGAAAGCTGCAAATGACAATCATGTGTTTGCAGGTTGTGCAACAGGTAGTAAATTGAGCCACCCAGAGCATGATTACATGACCATGAGGATGCTGGGATGGCTAAAACTCCAAGGACCAGTTATAACCACCATTTGTTCACCACTACTATACCTTTGAACAGTCATTGAATGAATGGTCATAAACCGAGGACTATCTGTATTCATAATAAAATTTAGCTGTCTTGCAAGATTTCATACTTTCATAATATTTCTATAACTTCATATCCACATCAAACCCACAATGCACACACACATATATCAATAATGTCACAATAAAAGGCAAGTTTCAGCACCTTATTTACTAAAGTATCTTAATTTTTTTTCCAGCCTCCAAAGGCTGCAGGGAATATGGTAGTAATATAGTGACAATCTTGAGGGGACATGACTGAAATTTTCAGTTTCAGGGTAGGTTTTAAAAGATAATTATTAGTGTGTTGCCTTAGTGGAAGCTTAACATACTTATTTTACCTTTGTTTTATGTTTTCTTCCAAAATATTTTTTAAAAAAAGAAGGTAGACAAAGGCTATTGAAGAAGTCCGCTCCTCTGGACTCTCCTCTTGTTGGCTTCTTGCTTTCAAATGCCCTGTGATAAGCTCTTATTTTTGCTTTTTAAAGCTTGAAGTTTGTATTTATAATCATACTGTTATAATCACACTGTTAAATAAATTGTCTCAGTAGAATAGCTATTTGAAAAGTAGGATATACCATATTTATGTGAAAGGAAGATCCCTCTGAATTGAAGACCATTTCCGCAAAAGAGGAAGTATTGTAAACCACAAGATTATAAGCAAGCAAAAATACCTGCTTCCCCACCTTGTGGCAACTAGAGTTACTAACTCCAATCAAAAATATTCATCCTATAAAGTGTGCCTTTACCGCAATATGCATATACACCCTCCAAAAAAGAAATAGATAAAGTAAATAATAAGTTATGTAATTTCTCTCTGTAAGTAATCCCATTAACAAAATTAAATGATCCTCAATTGCATAAGACAAGGATTTTCTGTCCTGTACAGAAGCCACTACCTCATACAGAAACCTATAAATATACATACATTTTTCTCTCTTCATCCAACATATACAAGTAATCCTTGACTTGGGATCACAACCACAATTGGGACCAGAATTTCCATCGTATGTCAGGGTATTGGTAAAGCGAATGGTCAAGTGACAAGACCCAATTTTACAACCATTTTTACAACAGTCATTAAGTGAATCACAAAGCATTAGGACTTCCCAACCAATTTTGCTTGTTGGCAGCTGGCTGGGAAGGTTACAAATGGCAATCACATCACTACAAGATACTGCAACCATTGTAAATGCAAACTGGGTGCCATGTGCCCAAACTACAATCATATCACTGTGGGGGTGATATGATAGTCGTAACTTCGAGGACGGGTCATAAATCACTTTTTCCAAACCATCCTAATTTTGAACTGTCATTATACAAATGGTTGTAAGTCGAGGACTACTTGTATAGTGAAAGGGAAAAGAAAGGAACTCATCTGCAATAAATAACATGTTCTTCGTGACAAATGATTCTTTATAAACTGGTAAAAGTATGGTAAATTCTAGTGTAATCAAAATGCGATATAAAATACTTAGAATGACAGTTGGTCTATTTATTTTAAAAAAATGCACCTTTGGAATCATTATCTAACCCATCCAGTGGTATGAAGTGATCAGAATTCTTATTTGAAATAACTGCATATGTGCCATCTTCATAAAGTTCCTGTCAGAATAAAATATACAAAAACACTTTCAATTTAAAAAAAAATATTATGCATCAAAATATTATAATGAAAAATGTTCATTAATTTTTAAACAATTTGGCCTTAAAGAGAAGGGGCGTTGTCTTACCTGAACGCCTTTTCTCAGCACGGAGATGGAGGATCCACCCATGGGTAGTAGACTGTATTCCTGCCCAATCAGATTAAGTCAGCCAAAGTTGCCACGCCCGTCCTGGACCCTAGATTCCAGTCTTGACGCGAGCGAAGCCATTGACTGACATAGGACGTACTGGCTCAGAAACTAAA